CCTGCTGAAAGGGACTTCATAGATCTGGCATATTTGGAGATGACAGGAGTGTGTCAGACCCACATGCTAAGTATAATTATTTTAACATAAAAAAAAAAAAACACACAGAGAGAGAAAAGTACATTTTGCATTATGTTGTACAACCCACCTACAATTTTATTAACATTATAACATGATAATCTAGAAAAGTTATCCATTCCTATTATGTTTCAGTTCTTAGCCTCTCACTTTACCAGTTTATATTTATCACTTTGAATGGTAATTTGGATAATAAATATACCAGGTAAGTGACATCTTAAAGGGGAGATACACTATATGTCCCTCTATTTACTTTTTGAAGCGCAAAGTACCAGGATGTGATTCAGCTGCAGACAGTGACTAAAATTAACTGTCAAATGGCAAATTAGTGTAAAAATTGTCTTTGGAGAGAAGATGAAACTGGTTTTCCAAGGAGAACCACTGTATCAGATTTTTATTTGCCACAAGTGGTTTGACATTTTTAATTCTCTGAATTCAACATTGAGAAAATATAGGAACATATGGAAAACATTACATTACAGACTGAGATAATGATTATAAAAAAATGGGTATAGAAAAATTACGTAATAAGAACATAAAATAAAACAAACTGTTGTCTACATTTATAATTATTATATGAGTAAATAAAGGTTCCCATATGCTTGTGAATGTAATGTGTCAATGCAGAAAAAATATTAAATATTTTTGGGAAAAAAGTCTTGCCATGCATTGCTTTTGTTTAATTTAGTCTTTTAAATCTTATTAAAAAATTATTCCAGAATTTAAAGGTTTGTGTACAGGAAACAGTATTTTTTAAACAAATAAATGTATATTTATAGTTATTAATAACAAAGGATGTCAGAATGTATTTAAATTTTAAAACAATTTCTCAAGCACTGTAAATATACATTATGACCAGACATGAATTGTACCGTCAGAGCCTGCAGACAGAAGGTATTCCCCTTTATGGTCAAAAATAACACTCTGAACAGCATCTTCATGAGCTATTAGACTCGACGTATGCAAAGATGCCACTTCTACAATTTTAACAGTGCCATCATTGCTCGCAACCGCTAGAATTCTTCCATTTGGATTGAAGGCCACTTGATTGCTGGGATGAGGCCCAGTGTCCATGGTCACCATTGCTGAGGCATTCCTCACATCCCATAATTTGAGCACCCCAAAAGAGTCGCACGAAGCAAATGTGTCACCTGTGGCATTGAAGGTGGCATAGTTGCATGAATGCTTGTGCCCGTAGAAAGTCTGGGCGCACAATCCAGCACGGGCATCCCAAAGAGAGAGGGTCTTGTCTGCTGAGCAGGTAAGTAGAATGTTTGAGAAAGGCAGGAAAGAAATGCTGTTCACGGAGTCAACATGTCCACGCAGAGTGCATCGGCAACGCTCGCTATTCAAGTCCCACACTTTAGCCGTGTTATCCATAGAACAAGAGGCCACAAAATCACCACAGGAATGGAAGGAACAAGCCCAGGTGGTGTGAATGTGTCCCTCCAAACTGAGCACACATCGACCTTGAGCAAAGTCCCAAATTTTAACTGTGGTGTCCCCACTTGTGGTCCCCAGGTAACCACCGCTGGGATGGAAACTACATGATGACAGCCAATCAGTGTGACCCTCGCCAGTCATGATCATCTCTCCCTCTGGTATTCCCCATGATCTCCAAAGCTGGTCATCACTTGAGGAGGCTACTATCATTTTACGAGGATGGAGAGCGAGGAAGCTCACTGCCATCGTGTGCACTTTAAAAGACTTGAAGAGAGAGAAGTTGGCTGATTTGGTGTTGAGTGACGAAAGAGCTTTGATTTGTGGCAAGTAGGGATTGACTCGAGTGCTTGCTGGGAATTCAGAGTCTTTAGGATGCCTTGTGTTTTTGTTGGGGTCTTTTATAGCATCATTTGATGCGATGTTGTCACATGGCAGGTGTGCACCTTTTTCTGGACTCTTCTGGATTTTTTCTCTTTGCTGTGGCGTGTTAGCAGATTTCCGGGTTCCTGGGGAAGAATGTGCGGTACAAAGAGAGCCGTCTATGTTCTGAACCTGGCTGACAGCTCTGTCTCTCTCCAGACTAACCAGCATCTTCTGCCTCACGGCTGTTTGATACTTCTCGTTTAGTTGCCTAAGAGCAGGCTCGTAGGATGCATAGTGTTTCTTCCGCTTTTTAATGTCCTCAATAAGTCTATTCTTCTCTTGAACAACACGCTTGTGCTGCATCCTATGAAAGTCCCTCTCTCTTTGAAGTTTTACTATAGTTTCTCCAGCTTCAAATGCAGCCAGTTTATAACTATCCCGCTCTCTTTGTACGTTTTTCAGCTCGTTGTCCAGGAGCTGGTTGTGTGTATAGACATCATGGACGAGTTCCATGTGGTCTGTTTTCATTAAGCCTTTGTGTATCATCTCAAACCACTCGATTTGGAAGCAGTCTAATGTTCTTTTCATACACATTTTTACCAGATAATTGCGGACAAAGTCGTCCACCACCTCAGGTATTGTAGGAACTGGATGTTTGGCCAAACTGACCCTCTGAGACTGTGTTGTGCATTCGGTGGCATCCTGCACTGCTTTAACAGCAGTTTCCAAGTCCTCTTCCCCCTCAGGTATGCTGAGTTCGTCGTCGACAGTCACTTCGTCGTATTTATAGTCATCCTCAGAGTCTTCTGGAATTAAAACCTTCTCTAGGTAATATGGACCATCAACGGATTCTTCTGCTACTTCGTATCTGGCTGCCATTTTTCCACGTCGCTTTGTTGTCCTATACAAAGTTGTGTATTGTTTCCATGGTGACCGTGAGACCGTGACCATGACAACTGTTTTCGTTTAAACACTATATTGTAAAGATGATTCCATGCTATTTTTTACCTGTTTCATTTAAAATCGACCTATGGGTTAAATCGTAAAATATATCAAATTGACACAAAACTATAAACTACAATTTTACACAAACTATAAAATGTACACATAATAGAGCTTACTTTTAATTAAACTTTTACATTTTTGACAACGTTGTAACTTGGAAATTATTCGTGATTATTTTTTTAACCTTTAATTTCATGCATGTGATTAAAAGGGTAAATATGTCGGCTTCAAAGGTCATCATAAACAGTAGATGGCGCTCAAGGAGCAGTGAACTGAGCGAATTCCACTAAACTGGTTTTAAAAACGGAATGTACAATTATAAATCTATGACAGTTCTGTAATAATGCTGATAAAGAATGTTGTCTTTGAAATAATATTCTTTCTTTTCTTTCTTTTTGAGTAGCCTACTTGAATGTCCACGCAAGTTGGTTCAGGTGTAAGGAATAAAAGTACGATAAGTTTTGGTAATTTTGTTCGAGCATAAATTAACAGTTATATAACTGGTTAGTCAATACAGGCAACTTTTATATATTTTAATATGGTCTATATATTAATATGCACTTACAAAAGTAGCCTAGATATAATAACAACAACAACTATAATAATAATAATAATAATTATTATTATTATTATATGAAATATAATATGAAATATGAAATGTTTAGGCTAAATGTGTAAAGTTAGAATTGATAAGTATCTTTAAACTGAATCGCACCGCCTGAGGCAGAGCCCTTCACCGCAGAACCAATCAGATGCTGTGGCTGAGTTTTGGAAGCTGAAGCATCAGTACAAAGGTCGGTGTGCGCGAGCTTTTGCAACGGATCACTGGTTTCTGTAAGACTTCATGAAAGCCAGAGATATGAGCAACGAAGCAGAGGGGGATAATCCAGATCAAACAAACTGCAAATGTAAATCACATACTCTGTTGTCCTCGTACTGCATCGACAGTATTCTAGGAAGGAAAAGTCCCTTAAAAGTTAAAGGTTAGTCGTTACTTCTTTAATTTTGTGATTCTGTTTGAGTTGTTTTTACATATGTTGTCCACTGAATTGCATTATTTTTTTGTAAACTCAACAATGCTTTTCAATAGCTGAAGCTACTGCCTTACATTAGAATTTAGCCTATTTTAATGGTCTTGAAATAGGCAAAGATCATTACAGTGTCCTTGTAACAAATACCGCATGCTATTATCTATAATTAATTACAACAACAATTTGCAGTTATACAAGTAGGCTATAGCGTAACTATAAACGTAAAGTAGTCTAAATAGCCTAGTAGTTAAATAGCCTACAAAACAGACAGGCTGTGGAATTATAGAATGGACAATAAAAGTGGTCTTTTAGAGGAATCCTCTAAGTTTAATTAGTATCTGTAACTTAATTTATCCTGTTGATAATTATTTAGATAAATTATTTTTGCTTACAGCAACACCAAACAGTTTGTGGCCCCTTCAACCAGACATGCACCTGCCGCCGAAGCTCCGCCGCCCCTTCGCCCCGTTGACAGACTCCTCCATTCACACAGACGAAAATGAGGCAGGGGGCCCAAGACTGCTACACACAGCCTGTGGAAAATTAAAAATGACAGAGGCCTCGCTTGTAAACACCAGTCGTGCTAGATTGTATCAGGAGCATGCTTCTCTACAGTCATGTAGAGACACATCTTGTCCCACGCCAAGACCAGAGGAGGAAGAAACTGACAATGAAAGACTAAGTAGAAAGACAACTGTGTCTCCGGGTCTAATGGGACTGCAAGAACGAGAGGCATATTTGAAACACAGTGAGGAAACTACTTTATCAGCGGGAAGTGACACTGAAGATGGGATGTTAAAACGAAAACAGAGGAGATACCGGACCACATTTACCAGCTATCAGCTTGAGGAGCTGGAAAGAGCTTTTCAAAAGACTCATTATCCAGATGTTTTCACAAGGTAGGCCTAACGGCGTCACCAACAATTTATGCAAATATAGCCTATATATAAAAAAAAGTGATTGATGGTTGGAAGGCATCATTCGTCACATATTCATTAAGACAACATCATTCATAATTTTCAGTAGCTATATTAAAAGCAGCCATATGAAAATTGTATATGCTTAAATAAAAAAGTCATACAATAATAATTTCGATTTTATCAGTTGTATTTTTTAAAAGGCGATAAATTATGTTTGTCGCTGCTACTTTTCGTTGCAATACCTTTACATTAACAGTTTCAATAGCACAGGAGCTATTAGAATTTGAATAGCCTATTTGTCACTAGAATGCAATCGAATAAATGTATATATTTTTAATTTTAGTAAAATTTATGGTCAATAGTAAAAGAAAATAAAATGAGATAAGACACTCGACCTACTACTTGTTTTTTCTCTCTAATTTAAGGGAGGAATTAGCAATGAGACTTGATCTTACAGAAGCACGAGTGCAAGTAAGTCACTTTCTTATTTATCTCACCCTTTTCAACATTCACTATTAATCTGTTTATCTGTTCACGACTGGGCACAATATCTCAACAAGAATAGAAACACTGAAAAAAATCAAATCAACGAATTCTAAGTTCTAAAGGTCACCGTTAAGTCTAAAACATTTAGGCTATATGTGTTTTTATATATATTAAAATTCTACATTAAGCTAGCAACAGTTAATGCGACTGGCTATCTAAAATATATAAGATTCGTATTAAACATACAGCCACTCGTATCTATTTGTATCGTTGCTACAATTTAGGCTACTTGAACTTGGTTCAGCAGCTTTTTTTTCGATACATTATATTGAAAATGTACCTTAAAACCTAACAAGATCTGTTAGATATTACATCATATTTATATAACAGGGAAAATGGCGCAAGTAGGCCTATATATAAAAGATTCGTGTATTTAGATGTTTTGGAGAATCGCATATTTATTCATTTTAAATTGCACACAATTATGACCTCGAAAGTTACTATTGCGTTATTTATTTATTTTAAATTGCACACAATTATGGCCTAGAAAGTTACTATTGCTTTATTGCCAATTTTTCTTTACATTTCCACTAAGTAGTGTATATTTTTTTTTCATAAACTACCTTCATTAGTAAACAACTTTCCGTGTTAAAGGGACAGTTCACCCAAAAATGAAAGTTATGTCATCATATAGACTACTATCTAGAATGAATATCTTCCTGCTTCAGGAATACAAATGAAGATATTTTTGCAGTGTTCATTTTGTTGTGTTCCATAGAAGACAGAACATCATACAGGTTTGGAAACACTGTGAGAGTTTACATTTTTGGGTGCAGAATTTAAATTTTTGGGTGGACTCCTTTATGGATATTCTCAGACAAGTTTGTATATTTCTTGTCATGCCAGCATCATTCTATTCAAGACTAATATGGCCTTCACTAAGGGGACATAGTGACAGTATTTCTTTGCTAAATGAAAAAAAAAACTCCTAACTACTTGTAATTGACAAAAGCATTGTTTCCTCTCAAGGTCTGGTTCCAGAATCGACGTGCAAAATGGAGGAAAAGGGAAAAGGCGGGGGACCAGTCACACACTCTGAGCCTACACTATCCTGGAACCCCCCCTGCTGCACAGCCCTTGTGTCATTACCTGAGTGGGAATCCTTTTTTCCCAAACCCACATCCAGCTATTGATTCATCTTGGCCTGCCCCACTCCAAAGACTGGCTCAGCCTCCCCCAAACCCTGCCTCCCCTCATGGCTTCAGTGCTCTGTTAGGGGCGGCCATGTTTAGACAGCACGCTTTCCTTAACCCCACTTTTGGAAGGTGCATCTGCATGTTCAACACAAACCATTAAGTTTATTTATCTTTACCTTATCTTTACCTTTCACATTTCATAATGGTTATAATATCCTGTTACATTTCTCATCAGACTTTTTACAAGCTTAGGTCCAATGGCACTGCAAAGGATACCCCTTCCTGCCATCGAGAGTCCAATTCAACGCTCCCACCTCACCAACAACCTTCTCTCCTCTTCACCACCCTTACCTTCATCTCCAACGGTGGACCTCCGCGCTTCCAGCATAGCAGCACTGCGTCTAAAAGCAAAGGAGCATTCTGCTCAGCTGACTCATATCACAGCTGCTGGAATGGCTGGAAAAGATGAGTGCTAAGACTCACTCTCACTTGAGAGATGGCAAAAGACCAAAGTCAAGCAGAAGCATTGATATCTGGAGAGTTAGGTGATTATTAATAGATACATTAATAGACACATGTTCAGTCTCTGGAAGTTGAACTGTAGCATTCTAAAGCTTTTTTGTTTGTTTAGTGTTGGTTGTTAATGAGTACTGAATGTTTTTTTTTTCATTAGTTGAATGATCTTTTTAGATAATTTCATCCTGTTTTCATTAGGAAATGGATAAAACAATCATCAAACTTAACAGGACAAGCTGCTTTTAATCTGTTACACATCCAACACTTTTTCAAGGTTTGTTCTGTAACAGTAAAAGGGATGTATTTATTCTGCATCATACGATTTTAGGATTTCTTAAGGCTGCACTTCCTGTGTTCACAGAATAGTACTAAAATAGTATAAGTATATGGTTATGTTGCCATGCATTACCATGAGCTTTATTATATTTTATTAAACCTATGAGCCACCATTCAGGGAAATAAACAAAATATCCATATGCTTCTCTTGATGAATTAGCCAGGGAAAATAAGAAAATGTGAAAGTAAAAAACAGTAACGTTTTGTGTTGTCTTAAAATTCCTTCTGTATTTAATGCTTTAAATAAATGGACGATGGACAGGTTACAAAATGTATAAAGGCTTATTGTGTAATTTCTAACCTTTTAATATGGATTTTTAAAGTGCTTTTGTTTTTTGTTTTTTTGCATCATCTTGCTATAGCCAAAAGAAAACCAAGGATTTTGCACAAAACAGCGTTTTCTAGCAACCTTTCTTCAACCACGAAAGATGTAGCCTATTTCAACGTGCGCTAAATATGTGTCTTGTCAGATGTAGCCTATTGATGTTTTGGTTGCGTGACTGGAACTGAACAGATTTTGCTCTGAAAATTATTGACGGAATTTCGAAAACCACATGATACCCACGATGAACAAAATGATCAGTGTGGTTTATTTTATGATGACATTTATTTGTAGTCGGAAACGACTTTCCAGCTCTTTGAACAAATGGTCATTTTTGCAGCCATGGGAATTGCTGTGAAGAAAGGCTAAATTTAGAGCTTTAACACCTCAATGGGTGTCCATGTAATCTGGGCATTAATGCCAAATACTTGTTTTCACTATTCACTCAAATTAAGAGGTTTACGCTTGCCTCAGCTTCCTGCTTTGCGTTTTTCCTTGTCAAAGGAGGCTTGTTAAGTCTATGCCAGTCGTAAACCACTTTTTAAACTAGATTAACTCCTTCGAACTAAGCCTTCATCCAATTAGTTTGGAGTATACGGTGATTTGTTATCTGATCACTGAGAGAACAGCATGTAGTCGGACCAGTGTGGGGCTATGTATACTAACATATTTGACCTAACATCGAAGCAATGAATAATGTCCTACCTAAGATCTGAAACGCTATTCAGAGACCACTATTCAGAAGTCTACCCTTAATGACGTAGGGCTTAACATGTTAAAATGTCTGAATGGTCAATTTAAACCACTGATTACCAACCATGGATTAAGAGACTTTCTATAGCTACAGAAAGGAACTGAACATTTTCAAGGCTGGCTATTGTGAGACCTGTGTTATATGTGACTTGTTGAGCATCAGGATTATAGCAAGTATTATTATAGAAGTGCAGGTGTCTTTATAAGCCTTCTTCTTCGTCTTCTTTACTTTTTACAAGCTGCTCATAAAGTTACATGAGCAGCTAAAGGAGTTTGGAGACACATATATTATTTTCATAATTTATATAATCAGGCACTGGGGGAAAAACCTTCAATATTTAATATGATTGGGTCGACCTGACTTTAGGTCACATGCAATGAACCATTTTCCGAGGTTCTCAGAAGCAGTAGTCAACATAGTCATACACTTCTAGTGGTGAACCAAAACTAC